AGCAGTGAGGTAAGAACTGGCACTATTGAGGAGTTGTAGCAATTACAGATATGGAGGAATGCAATAGATATTTAATCTTTCCTCTATTTTTGGATGCTTGGTAGGCCTAAGCAAGTTACTGTGCAAGGTGAAAAGACTGGTGTGAAGAATATAATGGCTAGGAGATCCATTATCACTCTTTCTGAAACACGTGGCAGCAAAGAGGAATGCGTAAGGATTTTTGACAGGGGAAAAGGTGGAAGATCATCTAAAAATGATATGAATGTGTGTTTCCATATAGGCTTATGCTTTATGCATTTTTGTGTTTCCATTGCAATTATGTGCTTACATTTATGTTTGTTTACGTTTACTTTATTTTTGTCAATTTTTTGGCTAAAAGAGGGAGTAACGTGGTAGTTGGATAACTTCAATGTCCTTTTCTGATGTTGGATCAGGTGTCGTGACATCATGTCATGTTTTAATATGCTTTATGGTTGGTTTTTGTATGCAACTATTGAAGGATAACATAAGTGTCTGTCATGTGTCAGGTTTAAAGAAAGATATTCTAGCTACATGTGTCTCTGAGGTGGTTCCGAGTGTCTGGGAGAATTTATCTTCAGGTGAAGTGTTGGTAATGTTGTGCTTCTGATTGTTTATGTGATGTTAGACTAGATGTCTTGACATTATGTTTAGTTGTGCTTGGTTGAATTCATAAGCTATGTAATTCAGAGGGAGTTAGCTGCCTGCTACTATTTGGTGGTGTTTGGTGAGCTTGTGTTGTTGTTTTGTGGTGTTTGGTGAGCTTGTGTTGCTGTTTGATGTTCTTGTGATTTGGGTTTTTTCCCTGAGAGGGATGTGTCAACTTGGATAGTTCATATTTGTTTTTTTCTTGTGATTTTGGTTTACCCCTTGAGGGGGAGTATTGTCTATGTGTGGCTAGGGGAGTTATGAACCTGTCTGGTCTGTTGCTGAAAAGTTGTAGTATGTAAAAAGCTTACATGGTTTCATATAGTTTGTGTTGTTTGTGATTTTGCTGTGTATACTCTTGATGATTTATTCTAAGATTGTTTTATCCAAAATTTACCAAAAGGGAGATTGTGAGTTCTGTGGTTTTTGGATTGGCAACATTTTGGTAAAACATGTTGTCAGCAAGATGTTAAACCAAATGTTCTGTCATGACAGTCAGACATCATGACAGATTAACATTTTGATGATGAAGCGGGGATGTACCTTCAAGGTTAGTATTTTGACGCTCAATTCATTATGTGAATAATGAGAAAGTACTCAAATTATATTTGAAACTTGTTACCTAAAACGATGTTATCATGTATATATAGGGAAGAGGAATAACAACGTTTTTATCTTTCAGACATGAAAAGTGGAAGACCATTGGATATGCTTAGGGCATGGATCTACTGTATTTAGGTGCATGATATTTCAGTGGTAAAGAGAATATCCTAGAAGTTAATTGAGTGTTAGTATGGTACGTCTGAACTTGTGGTACTCCATCTTAGGGTGACCGAACCAAAGAAGACGTGGCTAGATTGAGGGGGATATGCCCGACCCAGAACATTTGTGCCCCCAAGCCTCATGTTTGGTCATCAGTGCGAGGGTTTGAAGGATTACGGTCCCCGGTTACTGATCATACTTTTCGCATTCCTGATGCTTATAACACCAAACTTTTATTCGAAAGAGTGATGTTGATCTTTCTAGGAAACCATATCACTCAAGTATTACATGCAAGAGAAGTGACTGTTGATATAAAACCTTTCTTTTCATATGGTTTGTTCATAAATATAGGAAGAACTAGAGTTACTTTTCTTTTAGGTTCTCCTTTTTCTTTCTCTATTTTTAAGCGGTTACCTTTTTTATTCTCTAAAGTTTCTCTTTCTATATTTGAGATTATTAACGTGATATGGCCCAGAAATTGCGAAAGAACATGATACGGGAACCAATGAATCCATTGTCTCCGTGGGAAGGTTTCATAAATTCTTATATTGTTTCTATATTTTCAAAAGAGGGAAGCTTGAATGAAGCCTTTTCTGAAGTGGGTGAATTATTGCTTTAGGGTCTTACCATCCCTGGTGAAAATGACACAATCTCCAATATATACAGTAACTACACCATCCTTTTGTGAGTATCTTTTCAAAATATTGGGTGTTTTCCCTTCACCATTTTCGAGGCAAGTGTCTTTAACTACTTGGTGGTGGCCTCATCCCAACTTCATCCGACACTTGGGCGTGCGTTAAGGCTTACTAGTATTGGTGTGAATATTTAAAGGAGAATCCCTTTATAGTTCTATTCTTTCATCTTTTTCATTCCATCCAGGGTACCTAGGCTCAACGAAGAGGATGGGAGTTGGTCCTATTTATAACACCCTGGATTTTGATCCAAGACATTAGTAAAAAAAACAACCTATATTTACTTTTAAAAACGCTACAATTTATTTTTGATATAAAATTATAATTACAGGTTTGGAAGGACATGTAATTTAAAGTAAAACAAATGAGTTTGGCAAAAACCCAATTTTCTTCCCGCAGTCACGTGAAACATCACACCATTTTCACTTCATATCTTGAAGTTTGTTGGTACCTAAAATATTGGTTGTAAGGGGTCAATTTTCCATCATCCATAGGGCTGGAAATGAGTCGAGTCGAGTTGAATTCAGCTCAGCTCAGCTCGACTCGTTAAGAATTGGTTCAGCTTAAATCTCGGTTCGAGTTCGACACGAGCTTTTTTTAAGCTCAAACTTGACTCATTATAAGTTCACAAACTATTCAGTTCAACTCGTTTTGAAAGTTCTCCAAAAATTTTGAAAACTCCAAACATCTCTTCCGCCTCATGTGAATATGAAAAATTATAATGTAGTTATTCTAAAATAATAAAAATATAATTTCTCTAAAAACTTTATAAAATTCCTGAAAGTCTTAAAAGCTCCAGACATCTCTTCGTGAATCTGGAAAATATTTAAAGTTTCATCACATTTCATATTTTAAAGTTTCACATCGCATATTTTAAAGTTAATATAAAAAATTATAATGTCAACATATAATAGATTTTAAATGTTTTTTTAAAAGTATTTAAAATAAAAATTATGTAAAATATCTTTACATGTAAATGTTTATAATTAAAATATAAAACTAATATAAAAAATATAATTAAAAATTTTAATTCAATATATGTACAAAAAAAATATATAATATATGCAATAAAAGTCAAAAAAATAATTTGATATCCAAAATTTGTGATTCTTATATACAATGTATACTAAGCATATACATCCATAATAAATTATTTTTTATTTGAGTAATAAATAGTAGGGGCGAATAAATTTGAACAGTTTGATTGAAATCGATAGATTTGTTATATTTTTTATACAAATATATCAGATTGGGTATACAAATATCGGATCAAATGTCAGATTGATTCAATATTTTAATTTAGATAATATATAATTACTTCGGTCAGTTTGATATAATTATTTTGAATCCGTCAAAAATTAAACTCAATCGAACTCAATTAATATTTATTTTATTTATTATTATTATTATTATTATAGAACTTTCTCATTATAAAAATAGGTTTCATAATATTGTCAAGTTATTAGTATTTTTTAAAACTTAATAATGCATTGTATACTCACACAAAAACATATAATATAAACTTATTTAGTTTGCAGTTTAAAATATAATAATGATCAAATTAACGTTAAATGATATTAAAAATTTTATCACAGTAATTTTTTTAAATAGTAAAAATATAGTTTTTCATTTAGTTATTCTAAAATTTTGATAGTTTTTTTTTTTAAAATGAAAAATTTTAAAAATAAATTTTTTAAATTTTATAAAACAACAAATCAAATTAAGTCCAACAAATATTAAATGCATCAAACAAATTCGATTTATCCATTAATCCAATTTAACCTAATTCATCATAAAAATGAAATTTTATCAATCAAAATTAAATCTTAAAAATAAAATTATAATTTACGTCGAATTTAATTTTGAATCTAATTTTAACTTAAACCACTTCAACCCTAATAGTTATGATGAAAATCACTAGATACATGTTTTAAATGAGTGGATTACTCAATTGAGAAAATAAACTGTGACATGATTTTTAACTATTATTTTTAAAATTTTATCTTTTAATGTTATATCCTCTTATTGAAAAATAAATTGTCACATGACTTTTAATTATTATTTTTAAAATTTTATCCTTTAATGTTATATCCTCTATTTTATATTTATGAATTATGATAGTAATAAAATTACTCAATAGTAAATATGATTCATTAGATAGAATCAAAATTCTTTGTAAGGTAATTTTTTTTCTTTTCAAAGCTGTCGATCCTTAGTCGTCACTCTGCCGCCAGCTATGACGCGTTATGAACCAACACAAGCCCTCGAAAATTGATTTTCCAACTCTCAAAACCATTTTTTTAGTTAAAATACTTAATTGTTAAAAAAATAAATAAATTAAGAACATGCTTTAAATAAAATTTTAAGATAAGCACAAGTAGTATATGCCTTTTCAAACAAACAAAAAAAGAATATCCATAAAAATCAATAAAATGAACAAAATTCATACCCCTTAGCACGTTTTTAATTTCCACCCAGATTTTTTTTCCTCTATAAAAGCCACCATTCATATCCATTCAAAACCTTCTTCACCTACTCCTTATCTCATCACCAATTTTTCGATCTAGGGTTTCTCTATTCTCAATTTTCCCTCCATAACCGTTCTCGATCTAGGGTTTCTGAAAAAACTTCAATGTTTATGGAATTTCTATGACGCTGGTGAACCCTATACGACGTATCCGTCTCCAACATTCATTCTCCGTTGCATTCCTCTACTGGTTCTACGTGTTCTCATGAATTTTATTTTATCTCTGTAATCTCTCTAATCTTTTCCCCTTTTCTGAAATTTTTCTGATTAGATCTGCACAATTCTATAATTTCCCCAAATTTGACAAAATTACCCATTCAAATTCAAATTCAAAGCTCGAAACCGAAAAATCAATGGCTTCTGGTCACCGTCGTGTAAGTTCAGGTTCAGACGGCGGCGATCTTCTCCTCGACGAGAAGAAGAGAAAGCGTATGCTTTCGAACCGCGAATCCGCGAGGCGATCGAGGATGAGGAAGCAGAAACAAATCGAAGATCTGACCGAAGAAGCTGGCAGGTTGAAAAGCGAGAACGAAGGTCTTAAGCAGAAGATTAAGGCGACGGAGGATGCATATACTGAAATGGAAGCGGCAAACAATGTCGTTAGGGCACAAACTATGGAGCTGAAAGATCGGTTGCGCTTCCTTAATTCGGTGGTGAAAAATGCCCAAGATGCTAATGGTTGCTCTAATGATATGTCTCTGTTTTCGGATCCTCTTCTCAAGCCTTGGTTCATGCCTCATTCGAGTTATTCTCTCATTGCTTCAAATGATATGTTGAGGCATTGATCTTGAATATTGTTGTTTATTTACTTGTGTTTAATTAGTGTGTTTTTATTATGGTTGTGTTCTATATTTTGTATCATTGAATAAATGGGACTTGTGTTGGTTTGTTTTAGAGAGTATTGTTGTGTAATACTACCCAATTTATCATTAATGTGAATGTTATTGGCATGGATTTGGTTTCTGTTGTTTCAAGTTTAATGTGCTTTTTATAATTCTTGTTAAATCTAATAATTATGAATTGTTTGGTAAAACTTGGTGCTAACATATGGTTGTGCTTTTTGATAGATTAATTAAAGACCCAAATCTTATGTTCTTAGATTTTGATCCATGTGAGATTTGTACAAATGAGTCATAAAATCACATGCCAATGTAATATTTACTACCAAGTACAGTATACGTTTAGCTGTAATGTTTTTCAGTTCATTTATAAGAGTTTTTCTTGGTTGATGATGTTGATGTTATTATGGAACATTATATAATCTTTGGTTTAATGTGAATAATGAAGTGTTAGGTTATGGTCAAGGAATATTTGGATATATCACTTTTTTTATTTTTCTCGTGAATAACTAGGAGCAATCCCTAAACGAAAGACAAAAATAAAGAAATAAGTTAAAAGTCTCTGAGGTTTGGAGTTTGAAAGGGAAGGGAGGCGATGGGTTAAAAAAAATTGAAGGATAAATTGAAAGAAATTGAGGGATAATATTCTTAAAACAATGCACAAATATTTTGGCTACGAATCTCAAGGCTATTGTTGGATCAAATCTTTTGTATTGCGTTAAGAAAGAAGAAAATGATGTGCAACACAATTGGGATTTCACTTAGAAAGTTTCACATTGACTGCATGTCAAAATACAATTCGATTTCTCATCAAACACAACTAATTAGAAAGCTTTGAAATATAAACAAAACACTCCCTAATTCAAATTTTCTAAAGTCCAGATTCAAATAAGCTCCTTCAAATCATCAAAAATTGTCTTCTTCAAAGGTTTTGTAAGCAAATCTGTTAATTGCACTTCTGACTTGCAATACTCAAGCTCAATCTTTTCTTTATTCGCTTGATCTCTAAGAAAGTGATACATCCTTTTTATATGCTTATTCCTTCCATGACACATCGAATGATTGGTTAGATCTATAACTGATTTGTTATCTACAAACAACTTCATCTTCTTCGATTCGAAGACTCTAAGTTCATCTAGCAGCATTTTTATCCATAAGGCTTGACAAGCTGCATACGATGCTGCTACATACTCAGTTTCACAAGATGATAATGTCATTATCCCTTGCTTCATTGAGCTACAAGAGATTAGTGTTCCGCCAAGTAGTTTGCAATACTTTTCCTTTCATTTTGGTCTCTACTGAAGTCGGAATCTGTATAACTATACACATTTGCAGTTTTCTTGCTGATCTTTTGCTTTGGCATTAACACTCCATGATCCATTGGTCCTTTTATGTATCTTAATACCCTTTTGACCGCAGTGACATGGCATTCTTGTGCCTTATCAATAAACCTGCTAAAATGCCCTACACTTTGGCAAATATCAGTCCGATATTGCATAAGTACCTTAGAGACCTAATGATTTGTTTGTATAATGTTGCATTTACAAATTCATCATATGTTTCTCTTTTCAACTTTGTTATTATCTCTGGTGGCGCGACTGCTACATTACAATTGCTCATCTTGAATCTTTTCAAGATATCTTGAGCATGCTTCTATTGGTGCAGGAACATTCCCTAGCTCGTGTCTTCCAAATCCATCCCTAGAAAATACGACAAGTTTCCTAAGTCATACATTTCGAATTCCAGCATCAGCTCAGCCTTGCACTTCATAATCCTTTTCTCGTCGGATCATGTTATCAATAAATCATCTACATATAGACATAGGATGACTCAACTGACTCTGTATGCATCATTGACATATATTTCATGCTCTGAAACACATTTTATGAAACCTACCTTGATCAGGAAACCAAACATTCTCTTATTCCAAGCCCACATGGCTTGATTCAATCCATATAGAGCCTTCTTCAATCTATACACGTTATGATATTGCCCTTTTATTTTGAATCCTGGTGGTTGACTGGCATAAACCTCTTCTTCCAATGCTGCATTCAAGAATGTTGACTTAACATCCAATTGGCGTATCTTGCATCCTTTGTATGCTGCATTCGGCGCAAGAATCATGACTGTTTCCAACCTTGCAACAGCTGCATAGACTTCATTGAAGTTGATACCAGCCTTTTGTAGGAAACCTCTTGCCACTAGTCTTGCCTTATACTTGGCAATTCCACCACTTGACCTCAGTTTTAGCTTGAAAACCTATTTCACATCGATTGGCTTCTTGCTAGATCTTTCGACAAATTCCTAGGTCTTGTTTTTCTAAATTTCCATGAGTTATTTTTTCATGACTTCCAACCAATTTGAATCATTCATGGTTTTATCCAAATTAATTGGTTCTGATTCAGCCATCATCATCACTTCTTCTATGAGGTCACCATCTGCATCAATTGTTTGATTTGTAAATTTCTCAAATCTAGCTAGCCTAGTCGACTCAATTATTGTTTTAATTGATCTTTTAACCTTTTGCTCGAGTGGTTGTGGCTTTATTTTGCTGGTCTACTTCCAGCACAATTGGGACTATCTCTTGCTTATGTCAAACTGACCCTGAGCCCAATTTTGCCATTTTCTTTCGTCCACCAGAACATCCCTACTGATCACTACCTTATCTTCATTTGTTGAATACAACTTTTATGCATCAGTTGAATGATAACCTATGTGCACCATGTCTTTACTTCGATCATCTAGCTTCCTCCTTAATTTCGCAGGTACATGCTTGAAGCATATTGATCAAAATACTTTAAGAGGATTAACATTTGGCTTCAACCCTGTCCAAGCCTCATAAGGTGTCTTGTGCATTATTTTCTTAGTTGGACATCCATTGAGTATGTACACTACTGTCAAAACTACTTCTCCTCAAAATCTCTTTGGCATTTCTTTAGCTACTCTTGGCCATGTTCAACATACTTCTATTTTCCTCTCTCAACTATTCCATTATGCTGAGGTGTATAAGGTGAAATGACCTTATGCCTCATACCTTCATCATTATAGAATCTTGCAAATTCCAATGAAGTATACTCACCTCCACCATCATCTCTCAATTTCTTAATGTTGCACTCACTTTGTTTTTTTGACATGCAACTTAAATCTATTGAACTGTGTGATCACGTCACTCTTTATTTCAATTATATAAATCCATATGTGTCTTTTAAACTCATATATGAAAGTTAAAAAGTAACAATTACCTCCATTCTACCTAAACTGAAAAGGTGCAAACACAATATAATGCATAAGTTCTAGCCTTTTCTTGGCCTTCATAGGCAGATCATGCTTGAATGATTTCATGGCTTGCTTTGCTGTGCAACATTCTTCACACATTTGAATTTACTTCTTTATCTGAGGTAGACCATGCACCATCTTCTTCTTGTTAAGCATGCTTATACTTCTAAAGTTCAAGTGTCCATACATGTGGTGTCATAGCCAGTTCTTGTCTTCTGTTGCAGTGGAATAAAGACATTGATGATCAACCATGTTGATATCAATCTTAAAGGTCTTGTTTCTTGCCAATTGTGCTCTCTGGGTTAATCTTCCTTCACCATAAAACACCTTCATTTGATTGCCCATCATCTTTATACTATACCCTTTTGCAAGTAACTGACCAATGTTGATCAATTTACTTGTCATAGAGGGCACACATATGACATAAGTGGGCCTTCTGACCATCTTTTATCACTATTTTGATGTTTCCCTTTCCTTCTTATGTAACATATATTCCATCTTCAAATATGATTTCTTTCACGAATGATTCATCCAACATGATAAAAGGACTTTTCTTTCTAGTCATATGATTACTACATTCTGAATCCAAATATTGTCCCTAGCTAGATCATCACTAGTTTGAGTATTGGACATCAATAACACATCATCAGAATAACTTCCTTCTGCATGAGCAAACTGAACCTCTTCCTTTCCTTTTGTCCTCAACTCTTTGGGCAGTTTACAATATCTTGCGTAATGACCAAGTCTTTGACAATTGTAGCACCACACCTCCTTCATGCCAACTCTCTTCATCGAATTCATGTTGTACATACCTTTCTTGATTGAATTAGTGTGATTATTTGAATTCTTGATCAAATTTTCATCATTAACAAGATTATTTATGTGCTTTGTCTTTTCTTTTCCAGACTTCTTGATGAATCTTGCTTGCATTGCCTGTTTAAGCACCTTATCCCCTTTTTTAGTTTCTCTGCTTCAATCTCATCTCATGAGATTGTAATGAAGCTTAAAGTTCTTTCAATATCATCTCATGAGATTGTAATGAAGCTTAAATTTCTTTTAATCTCATTTCATGAGATTGTAATGAAGCTTAAAGTTCTTTCAATTTCATCTCAGTTAGATTCTTGGACTTTTCAATAGACATGACAATGTAATCGAAACTTGCAGTCATAGATCTTAGTACTTTCTCAATCTTATGTCGATCATTGATTGATTCACCACATGCCTTCATCTGGTTTATTAACAACATGATGCACAAAAAGAATTATGAAACTGATTCATCATCTTTCATTTGAGTCATCTCAAATTGTTTCCTCAAGGTATGTAGCTTCACTCTCTTGAGTTTCTACAAGCTCCAAATGCCACATGCACGTCTCTATTCAAGAATTCAACATTTAAAAGTATTTTATCAACAAATGTCACCCTTTTCATATTTCGACCATTAAATAGATAAATTGGTATTTTCCTCCTTCCTCTTGGATCAAATACAATTATATACTTCTTCCATGATTTTACTAAAGTGAAGTTACTTAGAGTATTGATTTACAACGATATATATATATATATATATATATATATATATATATATATATATATATATATATATATATATATATATATATATATATATATATATATATATATATATATATATATATATATATATATATATA